GTTCTTTAATCATGCAACTTGTAATCATATAAAGATCTACTTAAGAACATCTGAGCTGGAAGAAAATGGAAATGCGCAACAAGATTTTCTCAGCTGTGACGGCTCACCGCAGAAAACAGAAATTTCAATATTGGGAAACCTGTTCGGTGTGGAAAGCTGGGGAGATCTTTGCCCAAAAAGATCTTCATCATTCTTTTGTCAGAAATTAGTTTGAATGATCTTGAGATTTGCTAATGTCTTCTGTGCTTTACTGCAACACGGGAGGAGGTTTGCAACTACTTTATTCCTAATTGATTTGGCTTACTCCTTCTTCTAAGCTGCATTTGTCCACCTGTAGCTCACACATCCTGTAGTGTTTTTATTTGAATATTTCACTTTTTTTCATCCTGTCCGTCCTTCTGCCTCCTTCATCTCCTCACTTTCTAACACTCTCTTCCTTTTCTTCCCTACTTCATCACTCTCTCCTCCCCTCATTGATAAGCTCACACTGAGTGGCGAAGTGCCTAGGCTTTCTGAGAGAGAGACGGAGAGCAAGAGAACGAGGAGGACATGAATCAAGCCAGTGACAGAACAGCAGGGAGGACAGCAGATGTCACTGAGAGAGAGAGCTTTTCAATCAGCCTGTCCTTCCAACACACGGGCCAAGGTGAAGCGCTTTAGCGGCGGAAAACCCCTTGCCCTGACACACGTATGCAGAAAGATACACATTGCTTTAATCTTTCTCATTAACCGGACCACTTTACAACCTCAAGTTTCTTAGTGACATGCGAGAGGGCTAGAGGGCCAAGGAGAAAATGAGGTGATGAAATGCATGCCAAATACATGACTGCTGAAAATATAGAACAACAACAATCATTTCAGATCTATAAAATGAATGTGGATAACATAGCTCAGATAACTCGCTACTGGATGAATCTGATTAGAAAAGTTCACATTGAAAATCTGATTGTATCTCAAATCTGAGCATACTCTGAAACATTGTTGAGATCTCCTCTAGAAGGCCTTTTTCAATAAGATTGCCTAATATTTTACAAAAAAACATGTAATTGGTCTACCAGACAAATAGCCACACCCCAAACTCATGCCATTGGTTAAACTGTTGTTAATCTTGTCAGGATTCTCAAACAAAGAGCAATGTTTTGAAAGCACCACAGAGCCTTCAGGAGAGAAATTACATACATCATCTTTTTACAGCTCGGTTTTTGAAATAAGTGTAGCCTATGTGGGCACTATTGTGTATGTTTTTCAATGTTTATGTCTCATTCTCCATCTGGACTGGCTTTAGTAACACCACCTCGCTCTTGCTCCATATGACAGCTGCTGCCTCCTTTCCCTGTACCCAGAATACAGCGTAGCGCCAGAACAAATGTGATTTAGAAGCAGTCTAGGGACAAGAAACAACCTCCCAACACAGCAAACTGCCTTACAGTCTGCTTTCTGTCTGTTCGGCGACACAAAGCACATCAACCGTTAAGAGAAAAAAATGCCATATTTGTGAAATGAAACAGGAGTGGTACACCTGTTTTAGGAGCACAGAGTCAGGCACGACTCTGCCTCTCATCAACAGCTCACGAATGGCCCAGCGCTGCTTTTGATCCTACGATTGCTTCCCTGACCCTCCCTGAGAATAGATTGCCGTGCTTATGTTTGTTAACAGGGGCCATAAGTATTTAAAACAATCTCTGTCAGCCCAAGCCTCCACCGCTGCCCAGAGGTCAAAGCATTCCCTGCCTTTAAAAACCCTCATCACTGAGGATGAAAGGAGGTCCGTTGCATTCCATACTTCTTTGGTAGTCCCTTCCGTGACAACCGCTGATGAATGTTCATGCCGTACGGCTCTCTCTGTGTTCATTCGTTGTGGAGGAGTGGAGAGGGCCGGTGTTAGGTGTCTGGAAGAAGCAGGGAGAGTTACGGCCATTCCCAGCCTGGCTATGGAACCTCTCAGTGGGGGAGAGGAGACCCACGGGGCCGCTGCTCCACTGGAGCCCACGCAAACAATGGATAAAGACCCTGCCAGAGTGTAAGAGCCATGTTGATATTTAAACACCGGTGAGATCTACTGTTTTACTCTTTCTCTTCTCGCCTCGCTTTCTCAGCCACAACATTATTTCACATCAACAGCAGGGCATCTGAGCAAATGAATGGTACCGGAGCCATTGAAAGTGTATCTATATGAATTAAACCTAAAACGTCTTTATGAAACAACCCATAACTAAATCAAAGGCATCTACTGTTAGAGTCTCCATGACTAATCAGCTTTGTCCTAGTCTCCGAGCAACACAGATACAGGATGTGTGGTTTGTTTGGCCAGCCAAGAGTGTATTTGCTCTCTCTGCAGGACATGTGGCACTTTGTGGGCTGACCCAGCAGGGCGGCGCTGAAGGTTGGTCACTGTAAAGCTGTGCTTTCAGGCTTAGGGTTACTGCAGAGACATCGGGGGCTAGCCAGGGGCCTTCTACTGGCCTCCTTTGGGACCAATCTTGAGCAAGCATTCTCTGAATGCCATCTTGACTATTCACAAGAGCGCACACATGCACAAATCCAAACAGACCGGCCATTATTGTGCATTCTCCGACTAGGTACAAAGAATATTGCTTCAAGCAGTAAAGCTTATCTCTTTAGAGAGCAAAGCTATACTCTGTCCTTTGCCACGTTTCAACAATTCCTCCATCCAACGCATCCCTTCACCACTTTTCAAGACAGGAATGTAACAATCGGGAGGAAATGTTTCCAGTTTTTGTTTGGTCAGCGGATTGGGGCGCATCAATGATTCATAGTGCTGTCAGAGGAATGTGTTATCAGGAGAGGGCGGCCTCTGACACACACACACACACACACACACACACTATGACCTAACTGAAGTCCATCTGCTTTAATGACACTAAATACACCAGTGTAACAATCTACAATGCTGTCCTACAATCAAAAGTAAATAAAAAACCTCTCTCAATCTGTACATTTGTTCCAGTCACAAACAAAACATGCCAGAGATCATCAGGCACGTGCAACACCCAGTGTTGACTCGGATCCGGCAGCTGTGGACATGAAGCATTTCTTGTTTGCTTTGTTGATAACGGACATGTTATGCTGAGCATGTGCAGTCCATTTGTTGCTAATTAGATTGAGAGCGGCGCACTGAAGCATGTGTTGTAGCTTCCCTCGCTCGGCAGTACATCTGATAAAGAAGCCATTTCGGCCATCAAACAGTTTCCATTATGCAAGAGGCCCTTAATGTGTGTCCAGCTGAATCTGGGAGTCAAAAAATAAAAAACACCCCCCAATCTGCAGAAACCAGATCCACCAAACAGATGTCTATCTGGTCTCCGAATTGAATTAGCAATAGAGGTGGTGGTGGTGGGGTGTCAATCTCTGTCGCTCATAACTTTCAGCCCATCAAGACCGAAATTATTAAACAACTTTAAATTTGTTTGAATGGCCGTTCTCCACAGCAATTTAAAATGATAGATTGAAGTGGAGATATTATAGAGTGGCACTGAATGCCAGTGAATGGCATATGTTGCCTAGGAGGGGGAAATACAACCGCAGCACGTTTTAGGGAGGGGAAGAAAGCCCCGAAGCTGAGTTCCGGCAGAAAACGCAGTGCTGAGGGCAAGAGTGTGTCTTCAAGTTAGCACTTAACATAACTTGTACTGCTATTTTATGAACCACATGCAAAGGCATAGTGCAAAACCTCATGATACAAAGAGCATATTTTGGAGTTACGGATGAATTCAAAAAATGACTGCTTAAGAATTTAAAGCAAACACAAAACGACATTCACAATTCGCTTATATTGTTAATTAGATAGTTGGATGGGAGGGGCTGAAAATAAGAGGAAGTGGTGATGTCAGCCAAAAAGAAAAGTTGTTTTAGGGGCGGAGCAAGCTATTATATTTTAATAGATTTTGAAGACATTTGGATTAAAGAGCACTAGTGAATCATGGACAATCAAAAAAAAAACTTAAGCTAGTATTCCAGTTTGTGCAAAAAATTACAAAAAGTCGGAAGCACTCGATAATCCCCAATTGCAATTATTAAGTGTTTTCCGAACATCATAATCCCAAACAGTTCCCAGCACACTTTAAAGAGCTCACGTTAAACTCATTTATATCCTCTGACTGCCTCGGGAGCTAAACTTGCAATTCTTCAGCTTGGCTTGTTCGAACACAGGCAAACCATTGCTGGATAATTTCATTAGGGGGGCTCATTATGTCCTCACCATGTGTCTCTCCACACTCCATTCACTCTAAGTATCCCCTGGTTGGAGATTTGTGTGTGTGTTTGTGTGTGTGTGTGTGTATCTGTGACCGGAGAGGGGTCTGGTCGTTTCTGGGCAGCGAAACCTGAACTCTCAGAAGAGACGGACCCCCTATGAGCAGACAGCACGGGGTCATCTGGGGCTGTAAATCTCTGTAGGTTTACAGAGCCATAAAAAGGTAAAGATCCTGATAAACGGTGCCATTAATACGAGGCATTCAGTGAACACAAAGAACTCCAGGCGGAAGACTATCTGGGTGGAGGGGATACAGTAACAGAGTCAGCCACACTCTGACAGTACAATGACGTCCCTCAGACCCGCCAGCACAAACAAAGGAAACAGACGTAACGAGAAGGAGAAAGAGAGAAGCGAGAGAGGACTGGACTCAGTGGAAACAGGCTGCAGCAACCAAACCACGTGTCAACTGTTGAATCATGATGTAAAAATAAAAAACTAGCTGTCAATACCTTATTGTTTCACATTTTTGGCATGACAGAGCTGCCAACACATTGTGTAAAAGGAAACTCCAACACATACAAGTGTTGACTTAAATTGTGTTATTTTTAACACATTTACAGACACATCAAAAATATTTTCGGAAATTTTAACTGAAATCAGCACTAAAAGAAACCAAGCACTCATGTGGCCCTCGGCTCCACAGCAGCTGAACGTCTTGCACACACTCAAGCAGCGCCAGCAGGTGGCGCACCTCCACACCAAATAGTGAACACTGAACACTTACTTGCACTCTCTGTCTTCCAGGTCAAAGTGTGGGTTGAAGTTGATCAAAATCCTCTGGTTCGGTCCTGGAGCTGTAATCACCCATGTGCATTTCTGAGACGGGTAGTAAGACACCGGATAACCGGGTGAAGTGAGGTAATTTGCGCTAGTGATTCTGATATTGTCCCCGCATTTGTCTGAAAGAAAAGAAAATACAAATCAGCCATGCTGAAAATCTGGCCACCAACATAGCTGAACCAGGTTTATCAGGTTCATCAACCATTCGCACCATCTGAGTTTCACCAACCAACAACCCACAACTACTGTATAGATAGTGAAAATAAAAACAGTTTCCATGGTGCAAACACATTCCACGTTCAATGTGACATTGTCTTAATGGTTTATTTTTGAACACCTAATACAGTACCACTACTGTATAGTTTGACATAAGAATGACTATGCCATTTCTCTCCAAACATTCACTAAAACTGAGAAAAGCTCCTCTAGTCATTTCTGACCTATTTCTAAGCACTAAATAAAGGCTTGATATTTTCGCCTACATTTAATGTCATTATGTGGGAGGGAAGCATGACCTTTGTCTCTCCCATATTTTATTTATTTGCTCTTTCAACCACCCTACAGCTGATCAACACTGAATTTCATCATATCCATAAACAACAAACAAACTTTTGGAGCACCACATGGCTCACGGTCTAACAGAGATGTTTACATGTAAACACTCAAACATGAACACATTTAGACAGAAAATATGACAGCTCCAATGTAAAACTGCCAGCATTAAATATATGTAATAATAAAAAAAACAACTCAAGATATTTGAGTGTCAAGAGTTTTCTCAGGCAAACAGAATACATTTGATGTTTTAAATGAGGTCTAGTAAAGTTGAATGCATTCAGAAACAATCATAGAAATAAATTACCTTTTTGAGACTTTATCATTAGAGGCTTTTGGGGTTTAATTTTTTTTTATATATTGTTATATTATTTTGTTTTAATATTGCTGAGAGTGAATCATGACCCTATAATCACTATTAAACGCTCAGAATTTGTTATATTTAATCATTATGTCAATTCATGAATGTAGCAGACAATATATGCACGATTATCTACACATTAAGTGACTTAAATGGCAAAAACCACATGCAAGTGACCCCATGAAATTTCAGCTTGAATCCCTCTAGACTTCATTCCGGACAGACATGATACACAGTGTGTGACTTTAGTAAAACACGCGGACGACTGGAAAATACATGACTAATTACAATAAAATATCCAAAATGGCCCAATCAATAATACTTTTCCCAAAGTTTATAACTATTATTAGCTATACCTAAATTTAACTAAACGTATTCACGACTAATGGGGCAAAATTATTATTTATAATTGCAGTTCGTAATATCAGACCAGTTATATTACAGGTAGGCATCAGATTCTCTGGAATAATGTTATAATATAGTTTCCCAAATTTGGCCGAGATTAGAGTCAGTAACACAAAACTTTTAAGTTATACGAAGAACAGAAAACTTTAGGTAGCACTTAAAAAAAAGTTATTAATAAACGTCATATAATGATATAACTTAACAATCAACTAATTCGTAGTTAAGTTATATTCAAATATGAATAGGTATATATGAAAACGTGTTTCATTACATTTTGTAATATTTGAAAGCACATTAACGTCACTTTCATCTTTTAAGAAATATAACGTAATAAGCCTACATTTTTTTTCATGGTAATAAATAATGTAAATTAATAATATAATGTAAAATAATAATAAGATATTTTATAAATATTCACCTTTTTGCAAACATTAATATTAATAATTGAAATTATTATAAAATATAGCTTATCATGTGAACACATTTGTCCACAATCTGAGCTTTTATTGTACAGCGGAAAATAACAACTGAATATTAGAGCGGATAAAATGATTTGGCTGGCTATCCAGTGTCAGACGCAGGCGGCAGGTGAGAGCAGGTGACCAGTCTTAAGTCGCAACCCCTCAATTTTAGGCTTTCCCCATCTAATCCCAAGAAAAGGTCATTAAACACCAAGCTTCAGTTGACACTCACCATTTTTGAAAGCACTGACGATGAGAAAGATTCCCGGTAAGAGGATCAACACTAATCCACAATGCATCCTCGATTCCTTGAGTTCCGCGTGTGAAAATAACCAAAATTTGAAAAATTAAGAAAAAAGAAAATCCTTAAATGGTCGTATAGGGGTAATTCCTCTCGTTTGGACGGAAGGAGACCAAAAGAAGGCGTAAAAGGGCCTGAGCGCTGTAGAAATGCGGGGTTTTGTGCGTCTTCAGGTCGCTTGCATCCTGCCATTCAGCTCTGGTATCCTCTGCGCTCTCCCAGCCGCGCTCCTCTCTCCTTTGCCATTTCCTTCACCCTGTTAAAGAATGACAGAAGAAACGTTGCAGCTCCGCGAAATAGACGAGCAAACGGGCGTAATCCTGTGCGTAAAGTGAGAGAGAGAGATCGCGTGTAGCTAGACTTTGGCTAAAAGTGGCTTGGATACGCGAATCAGCCTCCGCGTAGTAACCCGGCGTTCTGCTTAGTCTCAAAATCTGAGTGAGAAACACAAACATCTGGCGATTGGCTTTGCCATAACAGCGTCTTAAACAAGGGATACACCCCCTAAATTACGCTTCTCTTCTTCCTAGAGTTTGTTGCTCTGCCGTGTGCCAGACGCGCAGGGGATTCTCATTGGTTTGATTACGCATATGCAAAGCCCGACCTATATGGAGCCCAACCTCTCGTATAAAAGAGCCCAGAGACCTCTGCGAGACACTGTCCAGCCCTCGCGCGCCGTGGAAGTGTGACACGGCTGCTGTCTTTTATATCAGGCGACAATTGAACTTGCTGACCAAAATAACTTGATTCAGTACAATAACACCAGCCACTTTTAGCTCTCAAAATGAGAAAAGCACAAAAGTCGCTGTATGGATTTTATATAGGCTACTGATTTACACGGAAACAAATAAAGCGTAACACTGCCATTTATTTTATCGACATAGTTTCTTATTTGAATCGTATCTATCTAATCTATATTATTTTAGTATGTATTTTCTCCATATTTCATGTCTTTGCGTATTTGTACACATGCAAACACAAAATTAAAGACACACATTATAGTCACCACCAGCATGAGTATATGTATTATTATAGTTATTATAATTGAATCCAGAACTTCGTTCAATATTGCACAGTTCTGATCAATAGGAGGATGGATTATACAAATATATGTGCATATAGTGGCAACCTGCTTTTTTTCCTTTAAGGGTTTATCACACTGAAATCTGTTGCAACCAAGTCTCGTTACACTGCATGGTGCCTTAAAACGCGCGTTTCATCCATAAACACAAACAGGACCGTTGAGCGAGGGGACTTGCGCGTTACGCAGCAGTATGGATAAGTTGTATGGTCGCATCGATTTCGTGCACAACGGTGTCCTCATTCTAAACGGAATATGTGTGCAACTTCAACCGAATTCTTTTCTGCTTAGACAAACAGTCAGCACTTGCCTACAAGCTGTCAAATGATCCGTTAACGCCCCGTGCAGTACGATCCGGTGACCGCGATCCGTGTTCTGCCGCGATACAGTCTCCTCAAATCCATAAACATCAGCTCCGGAGCCGATCGCCTCTCGAGTCAGTCCTTTCCAACTCCGCTCGTATCCTTCATTTGGCTCTGTGCAGCAACCAGCCAGCGCCGAACTCAGCGCGAGGAATCACAGAGCTGTCGTAGCCTATAGAGTCGCAGGTCGGAGAGAAGGCAGAAAGCGCCCTTCATTTCCGAGGAATCTCAGAGAAGTCCTGCGCTCCGCTGCGCGCCACGGGCTCCGCGAGAACCCGAGTCCATCTAGAATGCCTCTCGTTCCGTGAGGCTGCCCCGGCAAGCCGCCTACACCATCCACACTATCCACTACACAGAAACTGAGCACACTCAACGAACCTTTCTTGCAAAACAATCAGAATTTAAACACCTCTTAATCGCACTCGTTTGCAGATCATATCACAACTTATTCTCAACAAAGCTTGGAGTTCATACTAAAATGTATTTTGTTTCGGATGATATTGCATGCCTATCTGAACCATTAGCACAAGTGGACCATCAGTTAAAGTGGGACAAAGAGGTTTTATGACCCTGATCAGGAGATTATCAAATGTAACAGTCATTAATAATTGTCACAAGGTTCTTTGTGATTCTGAGCGAGCACATGATGGAAGATCCAGCTTACACATTATTTTATGCTGCTTTTCAAATGATTATTGGATGACAAAAGGTCTATTCCAGGGGTGCCCAAACTCGGTCCTGGAGGGCCGGTGTCCTGCAGAGTTTAGCTCCAACTTGCCTCAACACACCTTCTGGCAAGTTTCTAGTATGCCTATAAGAGCTTGATTAGCTGGTTCAGGTGTGTTTAATTGGGGTTGGAGCTAAACTCTGCAGGACCGAGTTTGGGCACCCCTGGTCTATACTGTTGAAAACTCCATTAAGGTTTGTGAGGGTTTGTGTCACCTCACTTTGTAAAGTGGGACACCTGTAAAGGCTTATGATCATGAATCATAAAACACACAACATGTGGATATGTCCTGCCTACTTGGAAACAGACGTACACATGTGGCACTGAATAGTTAAGTTACACTGTTGATTGTAGTTGGTTTTCCATGTTTTCTATCTAGACGTTGCAGGTCGTTTTATCATCATAAACTGGCCTATCAAATGGACTTTGTGGGAACGTTGAAGGAGCTGGTTAGAGAAGGCAGATCTTGGATCAGTAACAAACCTCTAAACATTCCAGTTTAAGTTAATATGGCATGGTTTTCCTTCAGTGTTTTGTCTTGTAAATTCTTTATTTTACAGTCAGTCGTTACAGTAGCTACAATTTAAGGATTATGGTAGACATGTAGGATAGTGATTTTACCCCATATAGCCTATTTACAATTGTTTAGACTGATAGTGCTCCAACAATCCGCGCTCTTTCCTTCATTATAAGTGTATTTATTTCTACAATGGCAGCATTAAACAGCGGATTCAGAACAGGACATTGCCAGCTCACGCTATTCACCTCTGTTCACATCAGGGGAAAGAAAGTAACTTGATCAACTGCAGGATTTTGTTTTTTTATTTATTTATTTGTTTGTTTGTAAACTACAAACTTTCTGTGACTGACAAGTCGATTTAAACTTCTCTTTTCCAAATCTATAAAAATGGCATACTATGACAATTCATTCAATGTTAATTCGTTAAACCGGATTTTATATTTTCCACTAGGTAAGTCTGTAAGCTCAATGAGAAGTTTTCAAACGCTGGGGGAAAAAAATCTCGTGGAATAGCCTCTGTGGTGCTTTGTTGCGCGAATTCTTCTCACTCCGGGGTCAGTGTTTTCATTTAGATGTCTGAGAGACACATGCCTTCCTGACCGCCACATATGATATAACACATAAACTCAAGCCGCCCAGCTATGCGCTTTGTCTCGCTGACAGACCGCCAGAGGATCAACACAAGCAGCGATGCGTCCTGTACTACTGTGGGGAAGGGCTTAGCTTATGAATATTAACTAGGCCACGCTGACGTTACTTGGTAACCGCTCTGGAGCGTCCAGTCACGTAAGCTAATTAATATTCATGAGCCAAGACCTTCAACAGGGCAAGGCTATGGACGCGAAGCAATACTAGCGTACTTCTTATTGCATACTGTGCCTTGTACAGAACCACAGAAGCCAATTTCCACCACATTAGATTAAATTAATGAGATATTTTGAAATTATGAGATACTGAGTCATAATTATGAGATAAAAAAAGTCAAAATGATAGATTAGAATGTCAAAATTTTAAGATGTTAAGTCATTTTATGATAGCCTATAAAGAGTACAAATTATGGGTTAGAAAGTTAAAATGTCAAGATTCATAATTATGACAAATTATTGGTTAGAAATACTTTTTATGACAAAATAATGGGATAAAAAGCTGGAACTATGGGTTAAAAAGTCAATTTTAAGATACTACGTCATAATTATGAGATACAAATATTTAATTAAGAAAAAAAAACATTCAGTCAAAATTATTAAATAAAAAGTTGAAATTATGGGTTAAAGGCAACCTTTAAGATACTAAGACATAATTATGAGATGATAAAGTCGGATTTATGAGATAAAAATCATTATTACAAAAATTATGATTTACCAACAAGTTTTTTTTTTCTTATGTGATGGAAATAGGTTTCCATAATATGCGCTATATTCTGCTTACTTTTGTTCGAAATGACATATGATAGAGTGCATGTTATGCATTAATAAATAGTATTATCAAACAGTAGTATGCTACACTGTCACATAACCTCAATATTCTGCATGCTTAATTCATGAGTGCTCCACAGTGATCACCTTAGAAGTAAAAATGGTCTTATGTACAAATGTCTTGATTCATTATTTGAAAGGACTACAAAAAGTTAAGAAGGTGCAACGATTAAACGTATACAAAATGTTTTGTTCACGTAAATCTTGCCATTGTAGTAACAGAAAAGTGCTTATCTTGTTTTTCAGACTTAAAAGAATTTCGTTATTGGTCGATGTTTGGCAGAAGTGTTGACCTCACTGGTTACCCATTACAAAGATCACATGTGGCCACATTTGTCCAGTTCACTGACCTATTGTTGTTCTTACAGAAAGGAAGTGTAAATGCATTGCTCAGCATATGCTAATCAGGCGCCACTGAAGGGAACTCAGATGTTATAAACAAATCAGCTTCCATTGTGATTGCATCAGGGTCATATTGACTATCTCATGAATGCATTCTTTGCAGAAACCCAACATGCATTTAAGTGGGAAAATACACAGTATGTCCATTTAGTCCATTTTCTGATAAGATTTGGGAGAGCACTTCAATTTAAGCATTCCACACTCAGGCTTCAGCAACGATCTGTTTCTTAAACAAAAGCACCTCATCAGTGTATGACCAATCACTATCAGGAATCCCTGCCACTTCTGCGGATGGTACAGAAGGAGGGAGAGCGAGGCAGCCTTTCTATAAAATTGTATTTGACTAGACTCTGTTCTCTAGGGGGTAATAAGTCTCTGTAACAATGAGATTGAGTAATTTCACAGAATCTACGGCTGCCATATCTGAAATGGTGCTGGTTTTGCGGGAACAATGGAGAGTCCATTTAACAAATTTGTTCCTTCCTGTCCTGAGTTATCTTTCATACATTCCTGAGGAATAATTAGCAGCGAGCAAAAGCACACATTCCGTTTGTCTGAGTGCATTTGGGTTCCGTTAATGCATCTTTTCTTGGTCCTTGACCACTCAAAAGGCAAAATCAGCCATTCATTTGATTACTATGAACCTAGCATTAATATAGAATTTTGCATATTAATTGAAAATGCGATAATAAGTTGTGGTAAAGTTGGCATTACAATAAAATGGCCCCCCAATTTGAAACGTTGTCAATTTTCTGATTTCAACCTCTTAATAAGTCATGATAATTTTAGCCTTGCCTCTAAATGAGAGGGTGTGCCGATTCTCATATCTCTTCTGCCAATGCTGAAGCCACATGAAAGACTTGGTTTGTTTATTTTGGAGGTTTTGGAACGCTATTGCTAATAAAATAGCATTTACCGCATGAAGTCTCTAATGTTCACTTACATCTGGGATGAAACGCCACCATAAAAGCTAATATAAGTGACTGGCAG